AAAATGTTAAATACATTTGACAATAAACCACATGTTGTAAACAAAACTGAATAAACTCCCTACCTCCCCCTGTAACAAATCGTCATAAAATTGCTAACCCCCTCTCTATTGCCGTTAAATAAATACTTCCACTACTTGCCGGTAAATAAATACTTCCATTATTTGCAATGAGAGTGAGAACTCACATTATTAATTGTTTTTTTTAATTAAGGAAACAAACAGCTTTTAGTCAACAAAGTATAATTGAATATGTTACTATTATTTCTTACTCAGCAATCAATGCTAGTCGCACATTCAATCTCTCACAAACGTAATTGAGCATTTCCAAAGAATGACGCTCAAAAAATCGTAAATGTTTTGTCTATTACTTTCACAATAATAAAACTAGCAATCTTCAATTTATTCTTATTTATTTCTAACCTATATAAATATTTTGTAAACAAAGAATGGTATACATTAGTAATGTTATCAAAGAATAAATAAAGTTTGAAACTGAACACGGCGATTTTTTTTTATTGATTTTCTCCCACTTGCTATTTACAAGATTTTCTTTATATATATATATATATAATATATATATATATATATATATATATATATATATATATATATATATATATATATATATATATATATATATATATATATATAAACAGTTCTATACGTATAAAAAATATATAACGAAAACAGTTCGACAAAAAAGTTAACAATATCGACCATCGAAGAATCTCAGATTTAGCAAAAGAATAATTAATAACGAAATTTTGACGACTGCCGTCAGTATAATTTCTGTTTTAAATATTCCTTATCAAATCAAATGCACAAATATGTCTATAAAGAGAGAAAATAACTTTTAGGTTAAAAAAGAACTGAAAGTAGGAGCATGCAAACCCAGATAGACTAAAGAAGTAATTGATGGTGTTTTAAGTGAAAAGTCTTTCGGTGGAGATGAAATGGATTATAATGTTGAGGAAAATATCAGTTACCATCTTTTATTGACTGGTCAAATGGTAGATAGCTACCTTAAAGAAATTGGTAAAGCATTTTTTTAGTAAACTTACAAGAGGAAAGACAACTGGTTCAGCTCCTACAGCTTAGATGTTTATTTCATCGGGAATTATTAAAAACATAGTTAGTCTGATGAAAGCGTACTGTTATGCTTGCATCATAGTACACTTGTACTATGATGCAAGCATAACAGTAGCAAAAAACTTCTACTAAAGTTAACAACAATAAACGCAGCAAAAAATTTTGTTGTTGATTCTTCATCAAATGCATTAATAAACTAATAACTTGTGAACTTTAAATATAGCGTATATAAATATAGCGTATATAAATAAAAAAATTGTTTATTTAGAACATATATAAACTATAGACCTTGGCCTTATTTGACTAAAAACAGACTCGTCGCCCCCTTTCCTTTAAGATTTCTTCGGGACAGCTCTGTATAAATGTTGCCAAAAATAGCAAGGCCGAGGGGATATGTTCCTAGACCTAGGCCAAGACCAAGGCTAAAAGTTTCAAGGCTAAGACCAAGAGTTTCAAGGACAAGGCCAAGAATAAGAGTTTTAAGGCTAAGGCCTTTGCAAACATTTTCAAAGCCAAAGAATTTTAAAGATGGTGACGGCTTTTAGAAAAATATTTCTGAGTAGCAACAACATATTATTATTCAGTTTTTTTTCTTAGTAAAAATAGAGTTCATCTAACATTACTTTTGTCTTACTTTATAGATGTGCGTTATACTTACATTCATTTATACATTGTATACAGCTGAAAAAAATAATATAATTGTATTCGAATGATTATAATGTTTATAAAAGGATACAAAGTCCACTTACTTACTACTTATAAACTATGTAACATAAAAATATTTATATATAAATTGTATGTAAATTTATTATGTTACATAGCTTATACACTATGTCACTAGTTTGCATTTAATTTATATAATATATATATATATATATATATATATATATATATATATATATATATATATATATATATATATATATATATATATTATATATATATATATATATATATATATATATATATATATATATATATATATATATATATATATATATATATATATATATATATAATATATATATTATGTACGTGGAAAACCCGTTTTTCAATGCCGAATTTTGTGCTAAAATTCTGTGCCACGATTTTTTTAACTTTTAAGGTCAGACAAACGTTTTTTTGATGTGTTTATTTTTAGAAACATAGACATATTATTATATATTTTAGAAACATTATTGAAAATTTAGAAAGGTATAGCTTCATTTTTTATGTAACTTTTATGTAAAATTATATTAAAAAAGTTATATATAAAATTTTACATATGGTTACTAAACTTTTTTATTGATTTTTTTACTTACGAAAATTTCGTTGATCTTCTAATTGATGTTAAAATTTTTTCGAATTAAGGCTGAGTTCAATTTTAAAATTCTATAGCCCATTTTCTACATCTCTTTTCTTTGCACATGCCAACAAATGCTACATTTTAAAAGTGTAATTTGAAAAGTCAAAAGTGCTCAAAACTTAAGCGTTTCTAATATTAATATACTCCTCATTTAATTGATAGATCAATCATAAGGATATTTTGCTTTTAGAAATAGTTTTGTGGTAGATCATTTTTTAGTAATAACTGTATAAGTTTGGCCTTAAACTCTTTTAACAATGTAAGAGTTTTAAGTTCAGATGTTAGTATTTTATTCCATGCCTTTGGTCTTCTAATCGAAATTAAAAACTCAGTTGCCGCATAATAACTTATGGGTTGTATGCAGGGCCGGCGCGAGTAGGTGTCATGTGGGGGGTGGGTGGGGGTGGGGGTGCCATTACAACTTTTGCCGACTAAAAAAAAAAAAAAAAGGTCCTCGTTTTTCAAACTTTGCCGACTGTCATGACGACATTTGCCGACTGTCTAACCTATATCAAAAGGGTCCACATTTGCCGACTAACTAGGTCCAATTTGCCGACTAAGGGTCCAATTTGCCGACTAAGGGTCCAGTTTGCCGACTAAAAATCATTGATGAGGGGGTGTCACACCCCCCACACCCCTATCGCGCTGACCTTGGTTGTATGTAGGTGTTACTTGAATGTCTAGTTAAGTATTTATTCTGATTAGTTTTGAATAAGAGATCAAAAGTTTTTTGAATAATACTTTTATTAATTTTGAACATAAAAATTAGAAGATGATAAATATTTATTTGGTAGATATTTAGTATATTTAACTTAGTAAATAAAGGTTGGGAGAATGTACTGCGGTTTTTATTGGATATAATTCTGATTGCATGTTTTTGTATATTAAAGAGTTTTTTTGATTTATTTTTATTGGTACTACACCATGCAATATTAGCGTAATTAAAGTTTTTCTTTATAGAGTAGGCCAATGCTACTTGATATTTTACTTATTATTTTATATGATTTCTCCATGTTACATTTTCGTCGAGGAGTACTCTTAGAAATTTTAATGATACCTCTCTTTTTATTTCGCAATTTTTAACACAAAAATTTGCAAGTTTTAATGGAATTTTGTCTCGTTCATGATAGCAATGAAAAAAAGTATATTTTGTCTTAGTTAAATTTAGAGAAAATTGGTTTGCTTTAAACCATTCAGCAAGGTATAGTAGTTCTGTGTTTACAGTTTTAAATAACATTTTTATATCATTGTGAGCATAAAATAGATTAGTATCATCTGCAAACAAGATTTTATCTAATACATTACAAGATTTACTTAGATCATTGATATATACTAGAATAAGAGCGGTCCTAGTATAGATCCTTGTGGTACTCCACAAGATATATTTATGTTGTTAGTTTTTCCGTAATTATGAGAAATATATTGCTGTCTATTTGACAGATTTTAAACCATTTAAGGTTCGAGTGTTTAATACCGTAGTTTTTTAATTTGGTTAATAAAATATGATGATTTAGAGTGTCAAAAGCCTTGCTGAGATCAATAAATACGCTTTCTAGCTACTGTACGATAAGTACATAATTAGGTATACACGTATAATAAGTACTTAGTACAATAAGTACGCTTTCTAGCTACTGTACTGTAGAATCTACTCAATAATATTTTATTTATCAAATTTTATGATTTCTACAAGATGAAGATTTTACCAAAATGTTTAGATAAAAAATTGACGAGCCTTTTGACAGGATTATAAGTACTAGTTTTAATACTAGTTTTAAGCAATAATTGTATAAATTATTTTTCAAAACTAATAGTACTGACAATGTTTCACTGTAATACAATAGTATTGACAATACTTTAGTAGTTATTTTATAGTACAAAAATAACTATCAAAGTATTCGTAACTATTAAAGTATTCAATAGTATTGTCAATTGCTCAAAAAATGTTCTATGCAATCTATTCAAAAACACTTGTCAATCTTTTCATATAAAAATGCAAAAATTTAAAACTAAGTCCTGACTATTGCTTATTAATCAATAAGTATGTTTGATTATTTGGAATTACTAATCATTAAGTATATGAACTATATACTTTATTAATGTAAAAAGTTAATGTTTTTATATACTTTATTAATGTAAAAAGTTAACATGTTTTTAATGCGGATTGCAACATGTCGTTTAGACACCTAAATTGTGCTAACTAATTTTTTGAGACTAAGTTAGTATTTATTGATTTAGATGATGTTATGTTAGAAAGAATTGTTGGCAGAAAACTCTGTCACGAATAGTATGATTCTGCCTATTCAAAGTTTGTTATTTATGATGGTAGAGTTAAAAAAGTAAACAAAAGACAAGAAGACAGAATTTACACTATTTCTTACTGAAAACAAGATCAAACTGAAATTAAAAATGTTGAATATTGCATTAAAAAATTCCAGCTTGTTGATGTTGTATAAGGAGAGTTAGTATTTTTTTAATTTGAATTTGTATGTAATTTATCAATGCTTGCAAATTAGTACCGCAAGTTTTGTGGCTTACAAATATGGTACAGCAAGTTTTGTGGCTTGCAAATAGGTACTGTCACGGAGAAAACAGTCCGCTGAGTAAACTGTCCGGCCGGACAGTTTACTCCGGAGTAGAATGTCCTAGTTGGTCCTATCCGTCCGGTTAGGACAATTTACTCCGGAGCAAACTGTCCTACGTTGGAGTAAACTGTCCTACCAGAGTTGCTAAAAAGTCGAAACCTAAAACGCCGGAAAGCCGAAATGCCAAAAACAAACATAAAATTCTGTTTCCTTTTGGGTAAGGAAACACGAAATTCTGTTTCCTTTTGGGTAGTTTTTTGCAACGGAATTGCCAAATGTTTTGAATGTTTTGAAAATGTTTATCACGACTTAGGTACATATATTATAAAATAATTTTGAACCGTAACTGCCTGCTCTTTGATGAAATGTAAAGAGAAGTTATTGACAAGTTATTGCGCATTTTACTTGTTTAAAAGTATAAGTCATAATTAATTTACAGAATAAACACAAACAGTTTGTTTAAATATCAATAATAAACGTTTATTATTGGTATTTAAACAAAACTGTTTGTTTAAACCTTTCACTGGCAATTGGTGTCTAAATGTGAAAAGAAAAGCTTAAGTTGTTTTACTCAATGGTTTTCTTTCCAGACACTGCTGAACTTAGATTTATGGATGTTTTAGCCTAAGAAAATATAACTTCTATGTAAAATGGAAAAGTTCACTAATATGTTTTTCCTGTGATATTACAGTTAGAGTCTTTAGAGTTAATTCAGCATTTACAGGTAATTTTTTTGTTTTATAATTAGGTAAAAATATATTTTCGATTTTTAAAACCTTGATAAAAAGTAAATATAAACTATAAATAAAAAGTAATAAAACACAAAAACATAATTATAACCTAATTTTTTAAATCAAATCTTAACTTTTGCTTGAACATCTAAATTTCTCTTATACATAAAACACTTAATTTCTCATTAACAACTTAGTAGCTTACTTTCAGATCATTAATAAGGATTTTGATCATCTCATTCTAGTGATGATTTTTTAACAGTAATTACCAATATGTTTTATTGTGCATTAGATAGATGCGTTAGGGCTATTGCTCTTAACACTTTAAAGTCTTCGATAAAGTCTTCCATTGTAGTCTCTTCTTATGTAGATGTGATTTGTGTGACGTGGAGAATTATATTAAATTATTGAATCATTCCTTAGCAGTTGTAGTATAAAGATTGTCCTTCCTTGATGTTCTATTCTTGGTTTTTTATTATATTGTTTCTAATCTACGTTAATGAACTTCTCTATAATCTTACATCTAAGGTGATATTTATGCTGGTGTTACCACCATTTGTTCTTAGCTTGATAAAAACGCAACACTCTCTGATTTCTTGGAGGGGCATTACCGCTTATAAATGATGTCATCACAGCTATAGCATAAAGCTTTCAGTGCTTGGATAATTTTGAATTTAAAATTCAGTTATTTCAAGCTAAATCTAGATGTAATAACATGTATCTATGAACGAATGAATGAATCATTTACTTAGTGTCTTCTTGGATTATTTCTTACTTCTAATGATTCTTGGAAATCATATGTAAAATTGATTGCAAAGTTAGCATCTGTTAAGGTTGCATCTGTTTTTCGTGATCCTTAGTGATGTTTGGCATCAGCTTTTTTTAATTAAGTTCTTGATTCTCCAATTGATGGCAGATGAACCAATTTTAAAATTTTATCCTGCATTTTGAAAATAATTAATTGAAATTTTGATAATAAAATAAAATTAACTAAAATTTATGTAAAACAATGTCATCGTTGTTATTTTGTGTTCTTGTGTCTGCGCTTTGTTGTTTTGATGTTTCAAATAAAGCCATTTATTCAAATATCTATTATCTTAAGTATCTCCTTAAATAAAGCTATTCATGTTACAAGCTTTTCATCTTCAACACACTCTCTGCAAGTTTTTTTTTATTGACACTGATAACTTTCTACACTCTGATATCCAATTATCTGCGTTACAACACTCTACATGCCAAACCACTTCTATATTTTTAAACCTCATTTTGGCACATCTTCCCAGATATTATTACTATTCCATGTTCCGCATATCCAACTAATCATCTTTTGTATTGTTCTTTCCAGACACTAGAGATCATCAACATTCATTGCCAATGTTACACTACCATATACCATATACTATAAAATAACATGTGAATTAAGTTAAAAAAGAGGCTATTTTTGGCTTCATTTTTAAGTATTTTTTATCAAGCCATTTAAAGCTCTGCAACCTGCAGAAATAACTTGGCTTTTTTTAGGTATATCCTATATACCTTTGAACATTGCGACTCTTGTCTTTTAATCTAGCATTTTTCTGCTTTTTGAGATTTTGAGAAATAATCTTTATCAGCCTTTTACTATCCATCGGCATTGGCCAAAAATGTTTAATCTGTACATCACTAGTGTCACTTTCTTACTCCTGATTATATTCTTTATCTCTATAAATCCCCAATCCATCCTAGCATGGAATACTGTTGCCATAAAAAGAGAAATACATCAAACATGTCCTTTCTGAAAAAATGCATTGTAAACATAGTTGCTGCTCTTTCAGCTAACCTTCAACCTTTGTCACGCCTTTTGTTCTCTTTTCTATAAATAATAAATAGCCTGCTGGTCTAAAGAGCTAGTATCTCTTGTGACTACAAAAAATCATTATTTTACTCGTCATTCAATGAATGTGGCTGTTCATAAGTGCAAAATAAAAAATCTTATGTTTCAGTTTTTTGATTGGTGTTTACTTTTAATTTTCCTGATTGTATGAATTATATAAATCAGGAAAATATGATCTTCCTGATAATATGAACCTGGAAAACAATTATAATTTTCTGTAAACTGTCATTTTGCACTATATAACCTTTTTCATGATTTTTCTAGTAACTTCCATCTCCAATAGTGGTTACTTCTAGCCTTGATAATTTTATTCCTGATCTATCAGTTAAAAAAAAGTTAAAATAAAAATAAAATCAGTGATAATTATGTTGTTAGAAGTAAAGATATTAAAAGATATTACTTTTTTTTTTTTAATTTTTTTTTTTTTCAATTAATGATAAAAGAATTTAATTTATATATACAGGTGGCCACCTAGGCCACCTGTTTTAATTATTTTTCAGAAACAAACAACAGCTTGAGAGAAATTTGTATGCATATGTTGAAATTACATAGACATAATAAGACATTAATTTTTTTTTTGACTATTGCGTTAACACTTTTATTTTAACAGGATTAAACTAGATTCAAACTCAATTATTCAACCTTTTTTTATTTTTAGATACTAAGCGGTGGAAGTATATCCGCAGATTGAGTAAACAGATTAAATCCTCAACAGTTAAAATAACTATGATTGTGCAGGAATACAGTTATGTTGTTGCATATTGGATTTATAGAAGATGATAATGTATAGTTTCCACAAGGTTTAAAAGATGGAAAATAGTCTATAAATGATCAGGAGAGTAAGGGCTTTTCGTACATGGCTAGTTTTGTATAACCCAAGATCATTTGCTGTGAATAGCTCCTGCACTTGATATTGTTACTTAATTTAAAAAACTGACGGCGTATGTACTAAAAAATACTAAAAAGATTTTAAATATGTCTATGATTATATATATGCGATTTTAATATAATATAGTATGATAGGTTTAGCAATACATTATAAATATTTACTGAGGCGTATCATTAAATGAGTTTGCATTTTATATTTTCATTTTATATTTTCATTGCTAAAAAGTTATTTAAATATTTTATAAATAATCGAGTTTTAATATATATTTATTGGTTATATTCACAGATGAAAATTTTCCGGGAATTCTATTACTAAAAGTATTAATTTCTGAACCATTTTCTCAGATTTTATATTTAAAAAGTAAATAAATTATTACTCTTTGCAAACTGTTTACGGTAAAACTGAGACATTGTATTTGATTTTAAAGAATTTTGAAGAAAAATAATTATTCAGTAGTTTTTAATTAATTATCTATCCCTTTACCATCATTCCAGAGTATATCCACATACCTTCGTCAACTAGTTGACCATATAATTTTTCGGTATTTTCATAGAAAAAAAATTTCCGGGATTTTCATCAAGTCAACAACTCATCTATGTTATAATATTGCTTTTCTTTGTCTGTCATGTTCTTAAAACTGCTTGAAATAAGAGTTTCTTTGTTTGAGTAGATTCTAAAAGGAAAGTATCGCTGTTACTTGTTTTGAGCGAAGCGAAATAGAAGCACTTCAAAAACTTGCATGCTTAAGACTAAAATTAAAAATCTTAAATTTGGAAGAAAGACCTCTAAATATTAAAAAAGGGCTCCTAAATTTTTTCTCCCTCCGACCTCGTAGGGGGCATTAGTGGGCTAGCGACGGCTTGGGTTGGATCATTTATTTAAAGCATCTAAATAACTCTATTTATTAATGGAAAATTGATTTTTAAATGGAAATACATTTAAATGTTTCTTTTATGTATCATTGTATTAGCAAAACTGTTTTCTTGATGTTCGATTATTGTTCAATTTATTCGTGTTATTTCATGTATGTAACAAGATATCGCGTAACGCGTATTGTAACAATTTTTCTTTACTATTATGTTAGCACCATGTTACATTGACATTTTTACATTTTTACAAAACCTCCGGTTTAACGGGTAACGGGTCGTTTTGTAAGAACACTATTTGATTATTTTTTAAGTTTAAACCTTAATATTTGGATAGGTTTCAGGTGTCACATAACTTTCTGTGCATTTTCAGACTAAATCTCTATGATACTACATCCTGCAAAAAATGTATGTGCAACTCTCCGCGTTAAGAAATAAACATCACTAAAAATTAACAAAACTTTATATTTTTGTACTTTTAAACTGATAATAAGTCAATCGCTCAGTTTTAAGCAATTTTTTTATTTTTTAAACAAAGTTTTTTGGGTTACGTGTGATATTAGCTATAACAGTTATGTGAAACTTCTTCCCTAAACTTTTTCCCTAGTTATGTGAAACTTCTTCCCAAAAAATGGGTTCAAATATGGCAAAAACTAAATTTCTAGAACAAATTTCAAAAAATCTCAAAATTTTAAAGGCGGATTCTGAGTGAAGGAAACGTTTTTAGAATTATTTTTGTCCTAAACGAGGGGAATACTTCCACTTTTTCCCGAATTTGCCTGATTCTTACAAAAAACGGCTTTTAAAGTCACGGTAATGAAGTCCGTTTAGTTGATTTTCAAGTCACGTCATCAATTGTGACAAGTCGATTTTTAAATTCGCAGAACAGTTGTTTCTAAATTTTTTTTCAACAATTCTCTTATCATTGCTTTTAATTTTTTTTTTAAATTAAATGTCACGACAACGTTGCACTACTTTTATAGCTTTATGCTTTTATGATTTTAAGCACGGCGATTTATAAGTAACAGGCCGTGACACGCAAAACTTAGAAAAAAATGTGGGGGCCGATATTTCAAAAATCAATATGACAATTTTTTAAAAACAAAATATGTTGCTCCCGTTATATAAAGCATTAAACTATGTAAAAATTTGTACAATTTAGAAATCTTTTTAAGTTTTTAACCATAAACTTTATTTAATTGTTTAATTCATAAAATTGCTTAAATAATAAAATAAAAAAGTTTTATATCAGATAAAAAACAAAAGTTAAATAAAGTACTGTTAGGGGGTAACTGCACCTTTAAATAGGAATATATTTTAGTGACTTAAATAAATAAGAAATACTTTTAAAATCATAAAACAGAAACTTTAAATCAATTAATAAATTTCAATAAAGAAATAACAGCATAAGTGTCAATAAATAACTGTCAACTTAACAAGACAACTTTAAAATTTTCAGAGACGGTTCTTTGTTCGATCTTGGTGTGGAAAGTTTGCAGTGGTTTTTGATAAAAATATTTGACAGTATATTACCATGATGTCGTTCCATGTCAAAAGAATAATGATCCGATATAAGCATAAAAATGTTGCACAGGGATGTCCGACAAACTTTATCTTTAATAAAGTTAAATAGTACAAATGAGAAGAAAACCCATTGAACAGTATTATCAAAGGAACTTTTAACCCACCTCTATCGACTGATTTTAGATATTGACCAAACTTTTCAAAATAAAACATTGTTCTGGTTCATTACGAGACACATATCCGGCAATATAAACAAGAGACATCTTTGATTGAACAGTTATACTTTTTTCTAGTGTTGGTAAATTATCAAAGACCTCAGCTGAAGATTCATCAAGTAAAAATCCACAAAATTGGCAAGAATGTCCTGCATCAGGAGTTGACTCATTAATGTTATATGACAACAAAAGTGAAGTTTTAGAAATATTGAACTTTTCAATTATTTGCTGGACACTTAAAAAATATGTGCCACCAAATCCTTGTCTTAACTTGCTGAATTCTTTTTCAAGTGGGTCTGTTGTTAATTTTCCCAACATAACATATTTGTGTTTTTCTTTTAATAGTGTTTTTGTCAACTCAACAATTCCTTTACATGTATGATTTATGGAATATCCTGTATCATGTGTTAATTGTTTTATACGCTTCCCTTGATTACTTGTCATACGTAATGCCATTTCTTCGAAATCCCAAATAAATTTTAATCTATCATCATTTGGATCTCTGATGACAGCTTTTCGATCATCATTAAACCTACAATCTACACCCACACTTTTTACATTTAAAATTTTCCACCATGTAACAACCATTTTAATAAAATCAGCAGTCTCATTTATGTTTAAGATATTGGAGGTTTCAGGATGATTAAGTAAAGCGCTGTATGTTTTTTCAGAAAACACTTTTAGACAGGTAGAAACAGATTGTCTTTCAATATGACTGGGTCGAACAGAAACTTCATTCAAATCAGAAAGTTTCATTAGACAATTAGAATCAGCTTCAAAAAGTTTTATCAAATGACTCCAACAAGCTGTTTTCTCAACACCATTTTCATAAAAAATTAATTCTCCTTTTTTTTCTGTGAGCCAATTGTTTCGGATGTTTTTGATTAAGTGGACAAAGTCAAACAACAAATAGGTTCCATTGGTGGTTAGCCAAGGTTTTTCAGGAAATGTGTCAAATTTTTTTAAAAATGCTTGATTAGTTCGATTTCCATCACAAGCAAGGATTGTCTTTGCGTTGCCATTAGACTCTTTAACTGCTTCAACAGTCAAATGAATTTGATCATATAAAAATCGAGAATTTAATTTGTTTACAGGTAACATTTTCACAAGAAATTTAGGTCCACCAAACATACAAGCAATATGAAACTGCAAAAATAATTACGATTAAAGGTGTTCGTACTTCAGTAAGTACTGAAGAGACACTTGTACCTTCACAACTTTATTTTCAGCATTTTGGCGCCCTAAAGGATGGACTTACATCACAATTTTTATGCATTTGAGATATTTTTCTAACTCTTAAAGTACTCTTTAAATAATTTTTATTTAAAATATTTAAATAAAATTTATTATTATAGAGAAGTTATCACGCAGAAAATTCAAATCCATTTGTATTATACAAATTTAAAAATTTTAAAATAAACAAAATATTTTTTTCTATGTAAAGTTTACATATACTTCATTTTACTTGTCTATGTAAATTTTACTTGTACTGTTCACAGCTTTACAAAATAAAATTAGTTTTTGTCACAAATATTTTTTTTACACTGCCCTAACGTCTACACTACACAATTATTTAAAACTTTAAAACAAATTATATTTTGTCAAAAAATGCAATTGCATATCGAAAAATAAAATTTTTTATAAGTTCACAAGGAATTTACTTACGAATCCTAAAAAAATAACAATTCTTCTCCAATTGAAATAATTTACTTAACTATAAATTGTTTAAAAATCCATAAATGAACATATCATTAAAACAACATACCTTTGAACTGAGTTTCTGGTGTTTGTCACCATGTCTCTGCACCATGTCTTTTATCGATTTGTGTTGTTTTCCATTGCTGTTAGTTTATGAATGAAAAGGTAAACATCACTTTGTGATTTTTAACCATTGAATTCATTATTAACAGAACGAAGTACCTGAAAAAATTTTGAAAAACTTGATTTTCAACAAACTTTACAGTATCAACTTGATTTTCAAGAAACTTAACAGTATCAACATGACTTTCAACAAACTTAACAGTATCAACATGACTTTCAACAAATTCTACGCTATCAACATGACTTTTAACAAATTCTACGCTATCAACATGACTTTTAACAAATTCTACGCTATCAAGATGACTTTCAACAAATTCTACGCTATCAACATATCTTTCAACATATTTTACACTATCAACATGACTTTCAACTAATTCTACGCTATCAACATGACTTTCAACAAATTCTACGCTATCAAAATGACTTTCAATAAATTCTACACTATCAAAATGACTTTCAACAAATTCTACGCTATCAAGATGACTTTTAATAAATTCTACGCTATCAACATAACTTTCAACATATTTTACACTATCAACATGACTTTCAACAAATTCTACGCTATCAAGATTACTTTCAACAAATTCTCCGTTATCAAGATTTCTTTCAACAAATTTCACGCTATCAATATGGGGGGGGGGGGGGTTAATAAGCTTGCGTTGGGTAGGAAAATGTTCCAAAAACTATTAAACATACTCCTTCTATTGTATGAAGAATGCAATAGTAACAAATTTAAAAACAAATCAACATAAGAATTAGGATTTTTTCAAACCTCTTAAATAAATATGTCAGAAACACATATTAAAATGGACTAACTTACGAAGCCAAATATGTATCTAATTTTCATTAAAAGATTAATTGCTCTAAATGTTATTAAATATTTTCTAATCTATTTAAATTTTAGATTGTTTGCAAAACATTTAGTTAAATATTTTTTTCTATAAAGATATTCGTAAATATTACCAGTAAATAATAATGAAAACAAATTTTGCTTAAAAATATATGCTAAACAAAAAAACCAT